ATTAGACAAATCTACTGAATACAATATTAATTATCCATCACTAGTTATCAAAAGTATCACTCAGAGAGAGAGAGAGAGAGAGAGAGCGGAGGGAGACGAAGGAAGAAGAGGAGGAGATTGGGGAGGTTGTTGTTGTTGTTCTTGTAAGAAGAAAGAAAACACAGACTTATCTTTGAGCTCGAACAAAAAAGGGTGAAAACTATGCAGCAAAACATGTGATGAAATAATATAATAATAATAATACTAATAACAATACATAATATGATGCTATTACAATATAATAAAATAAAAAATAAGGATAAAGTAATCAGAGTGATAGAGCAGGCGAAATAAAATAACACACAGACACTCACGCACGCACGCACACACACACACACATATGCAAATACAAATGAAGAAAAGGAAGAAAACAACAACAGGCATTTTAGAGGAATAAAGTGAGTAAATGCTCTTGCTTGGTAGTGTGCAGACACACACACATACACACACACTGTGCTTACAAGTATAACACAATGGACACACACGCGCATACAACACATAGCAGGATTAGGCGCGCAGATTGATTGCTGCGCTTGCTGCTCCCAGTGAACACAGAGGCGCTTCAAATTGATTGATGCGGCGCGGGGCGGAGGATGGAGACGAATAACGATCAAAATGACGACAACAGCAATAAAATGACTAACTGTACGACAGCAATAAGATGGCTGCAGAAAGTAACCAGATCATGGCAATAATAATAATAATAAAAAAGTCAGAGTCGAGTACCAGTTCCTGCTAAACGGGGAAAGACTTAAGTATGGCGTAGAGAAAGAAAGAGTAGACATTACTGACTTCATCATTTGCGGCATACTCAAATGAGTTGACTGATTTTATTACAGTGAATAACTGAAAAGCAGACAAAATTAAGAACATGAGGGGAAAGTGATTATGCCAAAGTATATCTGCGTGTGTGTGTGTTCGTATGTATGTGAGTTAGTGAGTGAGTGAGTGAGTGAGACAGTGAGGGGTGAGGTAAAGTGATAAACACATAGATAGATAGATAGAGAAATTTAGTTTATTTTGTTGCCACACTAAGTCTTCAAAAATGCACAACTACAGCCTTACAAAGAACACTTGCCTAATATGAATAAGTATACTGGAATTTCGCACGCTTGTTTGCAGCCCCGCCCCGCGCTCTCTCTCTCTGTCGCTCATCAGTGTACTTCATCAAAAAATATTTTTAAAAAATTCATTTTTGTTTTCAATTTCTTCATCAGTATTGTGGATTTGTTTCACATTCAGGAGGTGCAGATTAATAAAATGCATACGATGAATGCATAATCTTCTGACGATCCCGTGGTAAACAAGCAAGCGCGATACACACGGTAGTGTGTGTGTTTATGAAATAAAAAGGAAAAAGAAAAAACAACAACAAAATCATGAATGAAAATCTGCACTGATACGGTTTCAGTGTGTTCTTACAGCATTTTTATTTATTTATTGTACTTCCGTCTGCATTTCGAGTGGTGGTGACGTCACTCGCAAATCTCCCTCTTTATCGAGCTTGCCTACAGACTAAGCGAGGTTTAGGAGTACGTCGACAGGGGATCAAACATGAATGGCTGGTGAGCATTTTCTACCGCAGGACTACAACTACAACATTGCCTACCGCTTAATGTGTACCAGTCTCTCAGTGATACGATTATTAGTCTTGGAACAGAAAACTACAACGATTAGTTTTTATTGGTTAGAGGATTTCATCATGAGCTGACATCAGTTATAGAACCATTGGGAAAACCTGAAAATAGTAGACAGCCAGCTGTTTCACTCCAGCCTCGGACTCTTCATGAGTGCTCACTCACCGCCAGGCTTCGAACTCAGGACGTTTAGGTTACAAGAAGAGCTCATAAAGCAACAATTCACTGAGACCCGATCCAATAACCAACCCGTGAGTAATTCAACTTCCGCGCATGGACAAGTCAGTGCTGAATTGCGACTAATCCTATTCAGGTAGCTAGTTACCTCCGTTCCAGTGGGAAGTTGTGACCAGTGGAGTACAGCAGGTTGGGTGTGAGGACAAACAGTTACCGAAAACGTTGGCTAGTGGTCGTTCTGTGTCGTCAATTGGTAGAAGTTGGAATTTATGGCCTGGCCTTCAGATTGGGTCCCGGAGAGTGGCTTTAATGGTCTACGAGGTCACTGACCTTGTAACCTGAAGGTCCTGGTTAGCCTATAAGACTACTAAGGAGTAGCTTTATCAACCATTGTCATTATCACCACTCAATATTGGGTGCGGGAGACTTACTCTTGAAGTTGAAGAGGTATGTGGTACATGCGGAAACAGTCAAACATCATTTGGACAGCTAACAAAATGCACAGCAGTTTAACAGCACCGATGCTTAAAATGTATGCATATTCTGAATAGTACTGGGTTCCATTCGGCTTAAATTCATTAATTATAAGTAATGAAAGTTGACGATCGCATCGTCGTATCTTAATGTTTCTTCTATGCAACAGCTATTGTTCTTCAAATGATCAAATAAAATTCTTTAAAAATAAGTGAACTTACGTTCTTCGAATCGGAGGTATTAGGGGTATTGACCTGCAGTGTTTTAGAGGAGGACTTATCTAGGCAGAGAAAGTCATTCAGACGACCTAACTATTCATTTATTAATTTAACACTGTGGTCAAAAAGACTTTCTATGCAGGTAATATCATAATAATTGAGAATATGAGGCCAATATGTCCATCTGAATCCTTAGAACATGCGAAGAATGATGTCACATCCCATTGTATTTACCAATTTGAATGTACGTGTGGATACGCATACATAAGAGGGAAGGCTCATCAATCTCTGCAAGTAAGGGCTGGCTTCAGAAGCAAGCAGAATCCACACAAACCAGTAATGGAGAGAACATACCATAGAAACAGGACATAAAATTGACGTTTACACACGTCTTATAAACCTATCTATAAAACGTGTTTGGGGCGTAACCTAAAGTTTGTGAAAGCCCCAATTAGGAAGTTTAAATCACCTTTACAAACAAAGTAAATTTACTTTGATCGGACACTAGTTTTCGGCAAACTGAATTCTATCAAGTCAAATTTGCATTATGACCACCAACAGGCTATATGGCTTGCCATCGTGCTGCAGACAGAATTGTGGCTACCGGATGATTGGAGGCAGTCAGGCAGGAAGTCCTGTCTAGGCCTATATTTCGTGCTTCTGTTGGCATTCTCATCAGTCGGCAAGGAGGGGAACTTATCTGCCTCCTGAGATTTGAACCCGTGTCTCACCCACTGTTGTAGTGAGAGACGTTGTCAATAAGATATTCGGAGTGGCAATTGACCTGTGAGACTGTACTGGATCCTGTGACTTGACTCTAGGCGGCAACTGATGTCATATGTCTAGTGATTCGTGTAGGTGCAGACTGAATTCTATCACTGCAGCCTAAATAACTGTAAACTAGAATTCAAGGTTAGACATAATTGACGAACACTTCCCTTAGCCAGAAGGAAGTCCGGTGAAGACGGAAGTTTGGGTGGAAGGCTAGCAATCGTACTCCGTAGAAAGAAATTAACACCGCACCTAGTGAAACTTGAAAGCTCCAGCTTGAAGCTCTATGTTCCACTGGGAACGTAAGAGATGGAGACAGGGAGAGTAAGAGAGAGAGAATTTCTCACGTGTCAGTGGAAATAGTGAAGTTTTCTCATAAACGCGTGAAATATTACTATAAAATTCACCGTAGTCCTCAATTTGCTTGCGCACTGTGATGGCAAGTCAACTAGCATGGCGGCCACATTGCAAACTTGACTGACAACAGAATTCAGTTTTCAGTAAATAGATGACTAGGACGCATGGCGCTAGTCAATGTCTAATCAAAATGTTCATCAACAGAGTTCTACAAGAGGTCAATCGCCAACACCTAATAACTCAGTAGTGGTCACATCTCTGACTGCAGTCAGCACTGGGACGAATCTCTGGAGAGACATGAATCCCCTCCCCCCTATCCAGTCGACTGCCTACAACCATCTAATAAAATGAACTTATCTTGAAGTAATTACGCCTTTTCTTAAACTTTCTTCTTGTGTTCTAATTAAATGTTCTAAGAAAACTCATTAATTGTACTAGTATTAAATTGTGGCTTCAAAATGCTTCCCCATTGTTTTCTGTTGATTACAGGATGAATGACCTCCACCATCTCGTTGTCTAATTTCAAACATTGTGATACATAAAAACATAAAGGTGAATGAATGTGACAACAGCCAATTAACTCTATGACAACACATTCATATTTGTGCTATTAAATACGTTTCTATAGTCAACGGAAAAATAACATACATACACAAACACAAACAACGCATAGTATATATATATATATATATATATATATATATATATGCGTGTATTCATAGCTATAGATAGATAAACATAACGTGCCATTTAGAGACTTATTTGTGCAAGGAAAGGTGTCAATCACACGAAACACATATGTTCACAATGACTATCATAATACATGACGACGTGTGGTCATAACTGTAATTTATTAGACACTAATACGTAGGCACCCACGCACATCTACATACGACGACGATGACGAGAACGACATCAACAGCAAAGACACCAACACAGCTATTTCATGCATGACCGTATATCGACACAACTAGATTGCATAATCAAGTAAAAAGGAATACACATTGACACCAGCACAAAACACATATGCACACACACAGCATACATACATACATACATACAGATAGACATGTAGACACAACGATTGACATAGATCATTTACCAGTCGGGATAATGACTTCAGTGTATTCATTCATTCATTCATTTGTCACAAATGAATCTGTTCTCCATTCCAAGGTGGCAGCAGGAGCGGTAGTATTTGTTGTTGTTGTTGTTGTTGTTATAATAGTAGTGGTGATGGGTGCTAGTAATTTATATACATGTTTATGTACGCACGCACACATACACACAGACATATATATATGTATATATATGATGTCTGTAATTTCTAACTCACACGAATACGTTTACGTTTTATAATCTGGAGAAATTCAGTTAAGAGTAAGGGAGAGAGAGAGAGAAAAAAAAGAAGGTTGAACAACAAAAAATCAAAATTTGTATGACAAGTCACACACGGACACACGATAAAGGTCACATGTTGAACAGATGACAACTAGCCACCCACCCACGCACACAAAGATTAAAAGAAACGAAAGTGAGAATAGAGGAACTGTGATATAATTGTGTTTATTTTTTAGTCTACATTAAACTTACTTGCTCACATTGTGCACACATGTGTGATTCTTTGGATTGTAGATTTGAATATCACACAACAGCCCCAAAGGCACAACGAGGGAGATAGAAAGAGAGAGAGAGAGAGAGAGCGAGAGAGCGACGGACGTCTACAATAGTAACTGTCGGTATTGTTTACTACTATTGCTATCGCAGAGAGCTAAAAGAAGACTACACAACTCGCTAGCTTACTGGCCTGAGAAAAATAGGGAGTCTGGTGACTCTATTCTACTTCAAAATACAAAACTCTAAACGATTTGCGGATGTTTTGTGCCTAATGTCACATAAATTCTAAGAATTACACACTAAAACCAATCAACAGGTTGGCAGAAGACATGACTTCAAGTGAACACAGAAGTAATGAAGATAACCAACCGAATAAACAACAAATACCAGTGACTATAGTAACAATAGAAGACAAGGGCCAGGCAACAGGTCATCTATACGTTAACTGTATCCGCCTACGCAAAATCAGTCTTTGTTCTCATTTTTCTCACGACCAATATTGGGGACACAAAAACATTGATGTAAATTACTGTCCACCGATTTTGACTAACAGCCAGCTCTCACTACACTCGCCCCACCGTCAAAGACTTGCGACTGAAGTTGGTTCGGTCTCTTTGGTTCTAGGGGCTTTGCTCGTTTGTGTTGCTGTCTGGAATCTCAGCACTCACTGATGTTCACCTGTTTCTCTTTGTTTACCATTGCGGTTGTGTCTGCGTAACCCCATCTCAAAGTGACCATATGTGGTCCTTTCCACTTTGGAAACTGTTTGCCTGACTCTGTCACACATTCGTCGGTATTTCGCCCGACCTCCCAGCAGCGTCCCAAGTAACAGCCTCATCGCTGACAGATCTTGAACGTCACTCAACTGCGTAGAAGCCTCTAAGTCCTGCCAGAAGATTCATATGTCTCCATCAAAAACTGCAGGGCATAGGCTTTCCATTTGTCGGTAGGCAGCGACACCAAATGAAACAACAGAAGACAAGGGCCAGGCAACAGGTCATCTATACGTTAACTGTATCCGCCTACGCAAAATCAGTCTTTGTTCTCATTTTTCTCAAGACCAATATTGGGGACACAAAAACATTGAGGTAAATTGCTGTCTACCAACTTTGGCTAGCAGCCAGCTCTCACCACACTATCAATGGGATAAAATTCGAAAGAAGCCACTCCCTGAACTCCACTCTAAGCAGACACGCCTCAAATGCAGTCTGAAGGCAGGGGTTAGGATATCACAACCAGCCAGGAGAGTGAAAAGCAAGACAGACCTTCATCTCTCTCCCTCTCTCTCTGAAATCAGTTTGGAAATCTTCTGCACTCCGCGACAGAAACAACGGCAGTCGGATTTTCAACATCAATGTTAAATCCGTCAGTCAGGTCTTCCAATACATGGATCAGAAACTTGGCGCTGGTGTCTTGAAAAGCATTTCCAACAACCAGTTACAAACTGGTTGGCTACCACCATACTGAAGATCAGAAAGAAGCAGGCGGACAGAAAGAATTAGCAACATGAAATTCTAGAGGAACGAACCCACCAAGTACCTTTAGTAGGAGAGCAACGAATATTTCGTAGGAAATAGAGATGGATGAGACATACACTGGGGAGACACTGTCGAGTGACATCATGCGGCACGCTTGCACCCAAATTGGAAGAAGACAAGTTGGGACTAGTTGATGTGGAGGGGGCTGTGTGAATGGGAGGAGAAAAGAGCCTTTAGGCAATTGTGGAGTCAGCTAAAGAGAACAGGACAGGGAACAGGACAAAACCCTATTTTCCACTCGGAACCCATGGAAATAAATAACAATATCAAAATAATAAGCCCCAAGGAGTGATAGTAGGATATTTTTAGACAGAAGTGACATAATATACCTTATGGCACAGAAGCACAGCAAAGAAGAAATAGTTAAGCGGATGGCGAATAAGATGCTGGAGACAGCAAACAATAGCTGAAAAGAAATAAATAAACTTTGCCAGATTTAAGGAGACGCCAAAACGTTATGAATGCATCTGCACCGGTGTATGAACAATTTTCTCTCGTGGCCCAAGTGGTCTAGTGGATAACGCTTTGGCGTTTGAAACCATGGGCACTGGGTTTGAGCCTAGGTGCGAACATCATCACTCACTCAGAAATGCAGGTACATCCAGTAGCTGACGAGTCCCAAATAGGCCAAAATGCGCATCCTGGATTCCACTGCTAGTCACCATCCATCAATTAAATAGATTGGATCATTTCAGCTGTGAATCAAACGCAAATTTAGATGGTCAACTCTCTGAATTTAGTTTGACAGTCCAACTGTTACTCTGTTTACCTAACTAGTAACAGTATTCTACAACAGCCGCAGCGAAATAGCAGGCGTGGATAGTTAGTTCTATAACATACATAGTTCTAAACTTGGTTTTGAACAGCACATTTATGCGAACAGTATTGTGCTTTCAGTTAGATCTCATCAGGCTTAACTCACATAATCGTGTGGAGTTAGGTATATCGGTCGTTCGACTCGAGTTTTGTCCAAGAGGGTGCAAGAACACTACCCTGCATGATTACGAAGAAGTAGAAGTAGAGAAATAAGAAGTGCGATCATTGAACATCTGGTCGATAATGATCACTCTATCTCTATAGCCGCCGCCTTTAAAGTCATCTACAAGGCAAAGAGTAATTTACCCAAATCCCTACGTACCCAACTCATATGTATTGCCTGAGGCTTTGGCTATCGAGACAGAAAAGCCAGATCTCTGTGTACAGAAAAAAGTTCGTTCAACCCCTCCAACTTTCATGGTCTTAATCCCTCTATGCTAAAATATGGTAATCCCCAGTCATATTTTAGCTCTACCAATTTTTCATTTTTCATTTTGTCTATTGTTACTATTACTATTCTCACTTTGAACTGTCCCCGGTATTATTTCACCGGTATTGTTCCACTTGTCATTATAAATCAATTCTTTATTTTTACAACGATAAATTCTATGCTATCAAATTTCACACAATATTAGGTAACGTTTTTATTTTATTCGATTTGTCTATCAATCCTATAATTGCACACCCTTTTTCAAGTTCTATCCCTCCTATGAATTATTCTATATATGACACTAATTTGCTTTGCCACTTGACATTTAACTATGATTATAATCACAAACATTTTAGTTTTAATTGCATTTCATACTATTATTATTATTTTATGCATTCACACCTATCATTTAATCCCAGCACCGGATATATATATATATATATATATATATATATATATATATATATATATATATATATATATATATATATAGAGAGAGAGAGAGAGAGAGCTAGACTTCGCTGATGATGACATATGTCTGATTTCCCACAAACTGGTAGATATGCAAGTCAAAAGCAACAAGCTGGCAGAAGAAGCATCCAGAGATGATAGGAATTCCTTCAGGTGAACATAGATAAAACAGAGGTAGGTGATGAAGATTCCTGGACAACAACAACAACAACAGACAACAATCAGCCAGCACAAATGGGAGCAGTCTGAAAGAAACAACCTCCTTTACGTACCCACCTACCTGGGAAGCATCGTTTCAACTACAGGCCAGCGGAACTGACGAGGATATCAAAGCCAGAATCGGAAAAGCAAGACAGGCTTTCATTACTCTTAAGACTGTGTGGAGGTCAACATCACTCACCATCAAAAATAAAATCCGGATCTTCAACTCCAATGTGAAGTCAGTCAGTGCTACTCACTATGCGGATCAGAGACTTGGCCAGCGCGTCATAAAGAGCATCTCAAACAAACTTCAGACCTTCATCAACAGTTGTCTTCGCTCAATAACACTAAAGACCAGATGGCCGGCCAGAAAAGATCAGCAACAAAGGTCTCTGGGAACGTACCAACCAACCTTGGTCGTCCAAGGGTGACTTGGAGGAGGTCATGTGAAGAGGAAATGAAAGCATGTGGGCAGACTTGGAGCGGGGTGAAAAGTTGGCAGAAAAAAGAAGGCAGTGGAGATGCGCAGCTGAAGCCCTATGTTCCTCTAGGAATTAAAGGATACAATAATAATAATAATAAAAATTTATATATATATATATACTGATATGTATCCACATATATATATTTATTAATATAAGAATAAAACTTGTGCACTGTGGTAGAGTGTAATTCCATTATGGGTAAATTTTGTTTTGATAAAGTCTCACAGTGTTATACAGTAATGTTTACTGATGACGTTTCGAGCACAATTTATTGCTCATAATCATATCAAGGTATCATATCACCTTGTCTCCTTTATCAATGTATATTCTCCTTATATTATATTATATATAATATGAGTGTTTGTTGACAGTCCGTTGCTTGGTAACATATATCCATATATGGTTGTTGACATGTCTGCTATATTCGCTATGTATATTTGGATCGACACTCCATTATAATTAGCCATTCATGTTAGGACTGTCTAATGATTTGTTCCCACGCTTTGTCTGGAACATTCATATATATTTCGCATTCACAATCTTGTGACTTTACTTTACAACTACTTTACTTACTTACCACTTTGGTGTGAGACCATTTATTTTCGTCTCCTTGTGTTTGGACAATAGAAGTATCATCGCAAACCTAGTGGTCTTCTGATTTCCGCCTTCTCGCGTCAGGACTATTAGTTTCTCGACCAGTCCATAACAATAACTTAGCGACGAGTACATAACAATTTGGCGACGGGGAAAACTAGTACATAATATATATATATATATATATATATATATATATATGATTGTACAGCTTAGTGATAGATTCGTTGAAAAGAGTCTCTTCGCGGAATCGCTTGTTTTGATTTTCTATATTTAACTCTAATATGCATAACTTTACAAATACAAATTGAAATATAAACCAATCATAGTGTTTAGCACCTATGGTGACAGTTAAGGTGGGAGTACTACTAGACAGCTCGGCCAACATGTCACTGCTGAACATCTCCCATCATCGTGGTTTGGCAAAGGACAGAAAAAAAACAATCCGTAGCTCAGTTTTATCACATTTAGTTGATGGTGGTCATGTGGTGTGGAGAAAACGAGAGCTTTCAAGGTAATTTATCGTAATTCCATATTAGTTCATCAAATAGACTTCGTATTCGTCTACTGCACACAGTTGAGGCAGGCGATAGGCATTCGAACTATTAAACATAAATTATCATTCCTTAATCTTATCACATCTTCATTAAAAAAGTGTCTCATTTACTTCCCTTACAATCAGTCTAGCATTACTTAATTGGTTCATTTGTTTTTACTAGCCTTTATCGACTACTATGTTTACCTGAACACATTTGTTTGTTTAATCATGCTGTCTCCCGTTATTCTTGTCATTACAGATCGCCTTACTTTTTCATCCTTATTATTAATAGAATCATTATTATTATTATTATTATTATTATTATTATGACTAATTGCACAATTTATATTCGCCATCGTATTATCCTATAGACAAAACACCATAATTGGTTCATATTTGAATTTTTACTTGTAAAGTTATGTGTCCATTTTGAAGCTAAGCCTGATGAGATCTACTTGAAAGCACAATACTGTTCGCATAATTGTGTTGTTCTAAACTTGGTTGTTGGATTTCTTTCTGAATAAAGCTTAGCCGTATAAGAAGGGGTTGAGGTTAGGCATCGGTCGAGTGCCAGGTAAGGGAGGAAAGTCAATCTAAGAGGAGGTTGTGAAGCAGTTACCATCCATTGAGTGAGACATGTGTTACACATGCCTTCCTAGCTATCGATCACCTTCCTCAACGGGGGATGTGTTAGCTGATTGACATAGGATGGATCAGCTTGGAGAAGAGCTAGTGATGATCAAACCAAGAACACGGCACATCATCAGTCAACGGAATCCACAACAATTAGTTTAAGTCAGTTAGCTAGCCAGCCAGCCAACCAGCCAGCAAGCCAACCATGTAGGCAAATGTAGACTTCCTTATTCACTGATTGGGGTCCTCGGGATGGTAACAACAAATGAAGACTGTAGATAATTGTTGATGTTGATATGGCTGGCTCAAAATCATCGTTCTTAATGACAGAGCAGGTGCATTCAGAGCCTTTGCCATTTGTCATATCAAACAAAACTCGAGCCTTTTCCGCTTTCATATTGCTATTTCTGTTTCCCTTATACTTGTGTATATTATCACACACACACACACTCTCTCTCTCTCTATTTTGATTCTTTTTCTACTCTCTTCTCTTGCTTTGTGTGCCACATGGAGGGAGTGTGACGACTCGAACTGCTGCACATCTGTTCAAATTTCTATGTGGAAAACAATCAATCAATCAATCAGATAGTCAGCCAGAATAGGTCCCAGTGGCTAGATGGTCTACGAGCTAGGGTTGAAACCAGAAGGTCCTGGATGCGTACGGTCCCACAGGTGAATCCCAAACTAGAATGAAACAACTTTGCAGTATAGGCAAACAATATTCAATTATTGTCAAGTAATCACATGCGCTGTGGGTGTTTACGCCTATCCCCTTTGTTTTTTTGTTGTTTTTTTTTGGCTGATAATTCAAACAAGCTATTGCTCTTTTTTCTCTCTTAAGAAGTTGGTCATTATAAATATAAGGAAATGCTGACCTTTAACATTTCATAACTGAGAGAAAGATGAGAGTTAGGCAATATAATATAGACCCTGATATCACTGTTGCTCTTTGTGACTGTGAGACATGGTCACTGAAAGTTGAGGACTCGAAGAGACTAGCTGTCTTCGACTGTAGGTGTTTGTGTTCTACGTTCAAGTGTTAAGTGGTATAATATGTTGAATAATTATGAGAATAGAGGTAGACTGTTAGTGAAGAAGGGGGACATCGATTGATATGACTACTTAAAGGATGTGCTATGCCTGCCAAGCCATCAACTTTGTTATCGAAGATTAAGTAAGTTGGAAAAGATTTAGGGGTGGTCATTTCAAATCCATGAAGTATTTGACTGTTGGTTTGAGTCAACCATCTCTAAGGAGATATGCTAACAGAACCAGTTGGTTTGAGACTATATTGGTGAGATGGCTTAAAATTATTCTCATTCACCACCTTTAATAATTGTCCAAATTCCCTTAAATTCACGTAGAAGTATTCATCAGTCTGAAATCAGTTTAAATAGATCTTCTCCACTCCGTCTCCGCATAAGCGACAAGATTCAGATATTCAACACAACACAACACAACACAAATGTTAAGTCAGCCGATCCTTCTACATGGGTCCGAAACTAACTAGGGGGGCGTAAATCACGAAAATCATGACCAGCAGCCAGCTTCGTTGACTTCATACTAAAGGTTAGATGGTCGGTGGGAAGAATGAGCAACTAGAGACTATGAGAAAAATCCAATTGTGCGCCAGGCTTGCAGTGGAGCGGAATCTGAATGTGAAACGACGAGTTGGACGCAGTTGGTCAAAGGATGATATGTAGCAGATCGCAGAAAAGCGGGAGGAGATAAGAGCCTATGAGCAATCCAGGGAGGAGAAGGAGGGGGCAACTAAAGAGGACTGTAGAAAGCAGGACGAAACGGAAATGTGCTCGTGGAGCTCTGTGTGTTTCAGTCATTCAGCCTTGTAGCTGAATAGAAAACTAGGCAGATACTGCAATACCGAGAATAGGAAGGAAACCTTTCAGACTGCAGGCATTTGTGTGTGTGTGTGAGAGAGAGAAAGAATTCAAACAATCAGTAAACTCCAAGCAAGGCAAGATAAAGAAAGTCAAGTTGTTATCCAGCCTTTTTCAAGTTGAAGTTTGGTACACTTTCAGAGGAGAATACAGGGACAGAAAAAAAAAAAACAAACAAGTCGACTTACATTAATCTGGTTTTGATCATTCGTCGTCGGTGTACTGGCTTCATTCAAATGACGGAAACGAAATCTTGACGGAAGTGAAGTCGAAGACAGACCAATCGGTTGATTTGATTTTGACGATTCAACATCCTCAGAACCATCGTTGTCATCTTGTTGTAATGATGACTGATTTGAGCATGAAGTATTATAACGCGTTGTTGTTGTTGCTATTGTATAGGCATTTTGAGATGTTGACGGTAATGATATATACGATGGAGGCGTACTACAATAATCAGATGACTGTGGTCGAGGTAATACATCAGAGAAATCTGTTATAGAATTATGCAATGCTTGAGCATGAACTGATCGTGTAAAATATGGTTCCCTGTAATTTGCAAAATTCGAGTTTGTAGGTGAAGAAAACTTGTTGATTTCGTTTGATAAGTTACTGCGAGTGAATAAAGGTTCTTGATAGTTCAACTGTGTCCTGATGAAGATAACATGAGGAGGAGAAGAAGAAGAAGGGGAAGAAAGGTGTCAGAGGACTTTTAGGCGATTGCTAGATACACATAACGACTGTACAACAAATTTATTTTTTACCCACTGTGACATTGTTCTAATCTAAACAAATTTTCCTACATGATTCACTGTGTACAATTAGTGGATGGTGGCTAGCAGTGGAATCCAGGATGCGCATTTCGTCCTATTTGGGACTCGTCAACTGGATGTACCTGCATTTCTCAGTGAGTGATGATGTTCCCACCGAGGCTCGAACCCAGTACCCATAGTTTCAAACGCCAAAGCGTTATCCACTAGACCACTTGGGCCACGAGAGCCACCTCTTGTGCAACGGGTCATATTAATTATTGAATTGTCTAGTGGATAACGCTTTGGCGTTTGAAACTATGGGTACTGGGTTCGAGCCTCGGTGGGAACATCATCACTCACTGAGAAATGCAGGTACATCCAGTTGACGAGTCCCAAATAGGACGAAATGCGCATCCTGGATTCCACTGCTAGCCACCATCCACTAATTGTATACTAATTAAATGCCCAGACATCGTCGTCGAAGCATCTGCACAAGAAGCCGACATGTCAACCTGAGACCGAGCACTTTGGTCCAATCAATCGACGGGAAAATCGAAAATTCAATTCAATGATTCACTGTGTGTTATAGAACTCGTTAAAAACTTATTCACAACCGTGTCACACAGTCTGTTACCCAGAAGTTCATAGTGTAATCGTAGACGCTAAGAGGCTTGACAACGGAATGTTTATTTGCAATTAGACATACATTTATGGGAGAATTATATATCCTATATATGAAAATAGTCATCTGCTCAGAATTTGTGCCTTTCGCATATTGCCCTTGTCTCCTTTTCATGTCTCTCATGTTTTGCAAAAATCCACTGGTTGGCTCATTTCCTCTCTCTTTGACGTGAAATCTATCTCTCCGCTATTTGATATCATATTTATGTGCTGACTGGTTGCCCCCTTTATATACTACTCATAAATCTTGTCAGTAGCACACTGCGCAATAGCACAGGCATTTGAAAGCTAAGTACGCCACTTATTATCACTTGTACCTGTTACTTTGGAAAGGAAATGAGTCAATAAAGAATAAAAGAAATTCTCTCAGCTCATTTTTGCCCATTACTCCAAGCATGTGTGTTATTTGAACAGACATTATGCACACTGGACTACTATGCACACATATGAAGCTAGATTTCATCACAATATTACCTATGCATTAGTGAACAAAAGAATAGTAGAAACACATTTTTCAGCCAAGTGACATGACAGACAGAACCAACACTCATCAGCTTATGAAAAGAATAATTTAGTATTATTATTATTCCCTTGCAGCTAGATTCACTATTGACCATAACCTCTCATCTCCTCTCCACACGATCTTCTCTACGTCACCCTCGGGCTCACGTCAAACAAACATCGCTTCTCATTCGGGTCCCATTCGAGGGTAAGCCTGGTGTGTGTGTGTGTGTGTGATGTCACTCAGCATGTGCCCGGAATATTTGCATTTCTATGAATTGTTGGTTGGAGACGATCGACAGAAGGCCCTGCCTACACTCATATTTCGTGCTAGTTGGCACTACAGCATCAGTCAGCAAGGTGTATCTGCAACCTTGAACGAACTCATGCCCCTTGTGAGCAACGAACCCGCGTCACCCAGTGATGTAGTCAGACACCTTGTCACTGAGCTATTTGGGCTGGCGATTCACCCCCTGTAGGAGTGTGATGGATATTTGATTGAGGACTTTGCTGTCAGTAACTATTGTCCACTTAAAACATCTTCATATTTGTTGGTTTGGGAGTAGACCGCTGATTGGTTCGCTGAATTCCAGAGCTTCATGTTCCTCATCCTTTCAACCTGACTAACCAATTCTCAGTGTTCAAACAGCAAAAGCAGCTGTTGATGAGAGTGTGAAGTAGCCACCTGTTGAAAATGCTTCCTGTGACAAGCCAGCTGTCTGAACAATATAGAAGCACTCACTATAACTCATACTGAATGCAGAAGATTTCCACACAGATTTCGGTGTAATTAAGATTTGTCTTGATATCCCGATCCTGGCTGGCTAGCTGGATGGTTTTGACATATTCGTTCATGTTGCGTGCTTGTAGTTGGCACAACACTGCATAGGTCATTAGAAGGGGGCAACTTCCTTTGCATTTCTCCCGTTGACAGTGATTACTCCTTGCTGTTGTTAGTCAGGTATCTCCATCACTGGAGCACTGGATAGCTGTTCTCGCTTGTTTGGCTGAATGGTCTACAAGCTCGCCCTAACCCTAACTTCCAGTGGGTGATTACTGATGAAGACTTCCAAACTAGGCAGACGAAACAGCTGTCCAGTACTCCAGTGCTGGTTTCCAACGGTTCTCTAACTGATATCAGCTTGTAAACAATCCTGTAACCGATCAAATCCCTTCAAATCTACCTACACATTTGATCGTTGGACATAAATTATCCTCAAAGATTTAGATATCTTCAACAGTCTTTTCCTCAGTCCAACGTATGCATGACCCATAAATATACATGTCTGTATAACTACGACTAGTGATAATAACGACACATAGATTCTCCGTGATTTTCAGCGATTTTACGACTGACATATTTAGGTCGACTTCAATGGCACTTATTCAAAATAATCCTATAACATATGACATCGAATAATAATAGTAATAATATTATTATTATTATCAATCGTAATAAACAATTTTATAAAGGGTTGATTTCAAATGCAGTTGTCTAAAAGGGGAATAAAATGTCATTCTATAGTACAAAAAGAACACACACACACACAACAAACACCAGACAGTGGAATAACTGACGTCATTTAATTCTGTTAGCAAAAGGTATGTGATGGAATCATCGACCATAAGTTTGTGCAGAAAAACATAACAGATTTATTTTCACACTCGAACTGTATTCATATATGGATCACGTGCATGTTGCAATAAATGTCCCTGTTAACTGAATAAAGTAAGCATATGTGTGCCACAGCAAATGTTACAACAAAAATGTAGAATACAATATACATTTCCATTGCAACGTTTGCTAAAGCACATATTTATTCTTACAATATCACTGTAGGCCTTCATACTAGTGGTTTAGTGTTCACCAAGGTGAAAATGTATTGGAAGTGTTGGAAGTAAAAATAAATCTTAATTTTAACTTCTATCACGCACTGACATCAGTTAGATAAGCACTAAAAACCAGTAGGAGGTACTGGAGAGCAATGTCGTCCTCGTTTCGGATTCATTAGTAGTACTTACCCATTGGGGTTTGAATCTAGGACTTTTGAGTTGCGAGGCGAACTCGTAGATTGTTCAGCCACTCGAATCGGATTTTCAATGACCAGTCCATGAATTCCATCTTGTACTAACTGGTGATTTTAGCGCGACCAGCGCTAGCAGGTAATGAGTCTTCACGTACAACCGACAAGATCAATCCCACTAGTCACGACTTTTCACTAGAAATGGCTACCGAAAACGCCGTCCTATAGCCAGTCATTAGCGAGCATCAGAGATCATTTTCAACGAATTAATTTTGTAAAGATTTGATCTGTTGTTTTTATAAAGTCTGATCACGGATCGGTGATGTCAATTAGGGGACCATTCAAAACTAGCAGGGAGTACTGGCAGGATTGCCTGATAATCGGAAGGTTCTAGGTTCGAACTCGAGTAATGGGTGTGTGTACTGAAGAAGAGTTTCAAACTGGGACAACAGAAACAGTACGCCCTGCCGCGAACGAATCAAATCCCTACACAAATTAATTAACCCGTGACAATCTCTCAGTTTACTTCAACTACTTACTACTACTCAGTAGTTTTAATCAGCTGATTGTTAAATTTGTACTGAGTCACCTGGATACAAAGCTAAAAGATCTAACTTTCATGAGAATTAAGGTGAAACATGCAATTAAGTAATATGTTTAGCGAACGACTTTATAGATATATATACATAACATTGCGTGCGAGCTATTTTATAGTAATTGACAATGTTTACTGCAAATGTCAGCGTATTAATTTTCGGCGTGTGTTCTAACTCTCGTGGGTGCATATATACACATACACATACACACACGAGAAAAGGTACATTCCATATCTTTTGGGCTGCCGCAAATCAATACAAAACACATGACCTGTTTGTTCTTCACCGGTGAAATTGTTAGTACAATCTAAATACCGCACAGATAGTGTTCACACAGTTGGTACTTACTTCTCATAACAGAGTAGTGGAAATTGTTACATTTGCAATCCCAGTGTATGAGAATATTATTTTTTAAATTTATTATTTTTCCTCTCAGAATATATGTTTACTTTAATCAAAAAGGATTTCACCGAAGAAAAATTTCACCGCCCTCACAATGCGAGTTGGACAGATTTAAAAGTACATTGGTTGATTGTTGTTACCAATACAATAATGACAAGATCGACAAGAAAAGTATATTAACTAAAAAGCATAGAGAATGTCTCAGAGAACTAAGGTCTGATGACAGCATTATTATCACGAAACCAGACAAGGGATCAGGTACAGTAATTTTTAACAAATGCAACTACATTGATAAGATGAACACCATACTGGAAGACCGTTCCAAGTTTCAAAAGTTGGGTAACAGTAAAGATTCGAATGAAGCAACAGAACGCCAGTTCGTTGTTAAGATTTTGAAGTCTTTAAAAAATGAAAATCTAATTGATAGTTCCATCTTCGATGCTATTAAGCCCACCGGAACTCATACGCCTAGACTTTATGGCTTACCCAAGATACATAAACAGGGAATTCCCCTACGAACAATTCTGGACGTGTCGAACTCCCCCTTCCATTTTGATATGTACCCACATGATGTGTGTTTTGTTTTTGACAGTCTATTATATTTTGCTATGTGTATATGGATCGATATATATATATATATATAAAAGATGTCTTTAACTTTGTTGAAAACATTAAAGATATGAACCTAGCAGACA